CTAAATATTAAGGAGTTTAAACGGTCTTAGGATCTGAATAAATAGGGATTCACGTTACAAATTAAGCACGAAGGTTTTTGGGGTGTTACAGTAGGCTTCCATCTATTCAGGCTCCCTCTGAATATAACCCTCTTTTTATGGTTGTTAAGATCTCTAACATTCAGAGAGGTAATTTTGTTAGTCATTTAGGTTGAATGAAAATGGCCTCTGATTCCTTTGACTTTTTGTTGCGATCCTCATAATTGATTGACGTCTGTAAGCAATTTAATTCTCCGGATCCACTTATTGTCTGTTTCTTTTTGCTAGAGTGCAAGAGTATTGGCTCGCTTTTACAAATTATTGGCTTTTTCTCCAACTCAATAAATAAGCTTTAACCTCCATGTCATAACCACAAAAAGAAGTCCCAAAATGTCTGCTGATGCAAAAAATATTATGTGTAATCCAATAAGAGAATAGCTGAGGGTCATACCTGTGCTTATCTTTCAGAAGAGCATCGATAGACTCGATAACATTAGACAGAACTCTATCATTACTTGAATCTTCGAACCCGCCAGTTAGACATTCATTTTTGGACTAATGCACCACCAATTCGTAGTTCGTACCAGAGAGTAATTCGTCTTCGAGACTCATAATTGGGTTGCATGAGATTTGTTGAGCACCAAACTAGAAGCTTGAGCAAAAGACATTAGCTGCCATGTCTTGACAAGGGATTCTAGGGTTTAGATTTTGCAAGATCGAATTCTCATTTTTCGTTTGAGGTTATGATAATATGATTGAAATTGGTTTCGGGTTCGGCTGCGGATCCTTTTTCTTTTCTCTCCAAGCTCACTTAACTTTTTGATGCATTTTGGTTGGGCTAGCCTTCGGTTTATTCATGTTGCTTGGGCCCACCTCATTTGTTCATTTCCCCTTTTCGGCCCAAATGAACCTGGGCTTCTTAGGATGGTGAGTCATCATATGGATTGGAAAACCCTCTTTTGTGACCTTTTCCCGCTTTTGCTTTTCGGTTTTTGAATTTCAAAAGCCAGATTTTTGGGGTTTCTGTTCAAGTCGGATAGAGTCGTTATCACCTGCTTAGGGTTAAGGTTGTGGGGTTTTAGAGCATCTGCGTATGATTTCTTCTCTCCCATCGAAATGATGAAGCGATAGGTGTACTTGCAGTTCGGGCAGCATAAAGATACGTGAGAGGGTACAAATTGTACCTAATGAAAGCAGCAAATAGGAGAGATATGATCTGAATGTTCCAGAAACGGGTTTTTCAGAGGCGTATCAGTGAGTTCAAAAATGGCTTTCATAGTGCGCCACCAGCCCCAGCCTAAAAACCATCGTGGATAAAAATTCTTTTAACAGAACCTTCTCTTTCTTCCGATAATATAAGATTTTTGCCCCATCTGTTCCAGATCAAAGCAAGGAAGAGATGATGATGTTGTCCTTTAATGTTTTTGCCCCATGAATCTTTGCCTCTGTTCCAATAGAAGTCCTTTAGGTTTTCAATCATCCATTCAACTTTTTTTTTTTTGTTGAGAGTGATAGAAATTTTGTTTACTTTTTCTATTTTCGTAGATTCTAGCCCGTCAAGCTTCTTTCCATCGCAAATGATGTCGAAAGATTTTCTCCTGATAAGGACGAAGCATTTACTGTTTTCGGGGAGTATTGAGGGAAGAAAGAGGAATTGGTCAGCCGAGATTGGAGGTCGGCAAGAGCAACTTAATAAGGATTTGAAGGTAGCAGGAGAGGAGATAGTAGAGAGTGGAAGGTTGAGAAAGATTGAGAAAGTAAAGAGAATTTTAGAGAGAAATTTTTAGAGAGTAATTTTTATCATAAAGCATTTACTGACACTTGTATTTTTCTTTTATGAGGAATAATTATGTAATTCTTGTATGAACGTCTACAAAGAATATAAACCATCTAGTACTAATAATATTGTTAGTTTTAAGTAGCCATCATATATCATTATGTATCATAGCAAACAATTTAGAGGTTTTGTAGGGCAATATGAGACATAATACAAGTATTTTTGACAATTAGTCATAACCAAATTTTTTGAACTTTTATTTCTGAATAAGGGAACAATTTTGAAGGCATATAATGATTTGGTGTCCCAAGACTAAGATTGTATAAATAATGTG